TAAGTGTATTTGGAAGCAACCGCCTGGAACTGAGATCTTCCGTCAAGGCGATATATCTGTTTTTGAAGTGGATGGGAATGTTAACAAAATTTACTGTCAAAATTTATGCCTGCTGGCAAAGTTCTTTTTGGATCACAAAACCCTTTACTATGATGTGGAGCCCTTTCTATTTTACATATTGACTAAAAATGATCAGGTTGGCTGTCATCTGGTTGGATATTTTTCGAAGGAGAAACACTGTTCGCAAAAGTACAATGTATCATGTATTCTGACATTGCCTCAATATCAGAGGCAAGGATATGGGCGATTTTTGATTGACTTTAGCTATTTGCTTAGCCGGGAAGAGGGACAGCTGGGCACTCCAGAGAAACCACTCTCGGATCTTGGACGTCTTTCGTACTTCTCATACTGGAAATCGGTTGTACTCGAGTACTTGTATAAGTACCGAAATAATCAGACAATAACATTCAAAGATATAGCCATAAAAACGGGCTTAGCTATTTCTGATATTGCTTTGGCATTTGAGTTGTTAAACTTCATTAAGCTAAGAAAAAATGACGGCGACATAAGATACCAAATCAATGTGAAAATAGATTGGAAAAAGGTTTTGCAACATCATAAAAAGAGAGCCCAGAGCAAGACACGAATATTTATTGAAGCCGATTGTCTCCGATGGAGTCCATTAATGTCGATTTCAAAGTCACCAAATTTTAATATAAAACCAATATCTAACCGTGAATACTTGAGCCATCAATATATGGAAACATCAGATGATGATTTTTGTAAAAGCAAACCAGACGAAACTGCAAAGCCTCCAGCAAATTCAACGACTGAATCGTATAAGGAAAAAGATTCACTCAAAACATTTAAGCCGACCAGTGAGAGTGCAGATAAGATAAGTCATATTAAAAAGGACTCACACTCGGAGTCTACACAATTGCCACAAACTGAAGCAAAAAGATGTAAACGTGCCTTCGAAGAAATAACTGAAAACTCCGATTCTTCTGACAGCAAATATTCTAAGAAGTCATCAGAGTCATCCGAATTCAATATGTTGACCAAGCGAGCGCAGCGTCTAGCTAAGCGAAAGGACAGTATTCCTCACACCAACAAAAGGAAACATTTTGAGCGAGATAATAATGTTGATCAAGTGGAACATAATGTTCCGAGTCAAACCGATCAACAGAATGCTAAGGAAACTTTAGATAAGAGTTCCGTCTTGCAACGAGCTACTGTCCAGGATGTGAGTGTTACGAAGCCCGTTAATATTGTGCCCAAGCTGCGAGGTAAAAAATCAAACGGAAAGCGCGATGAGGAAAGTAAAGCTGCAGCTCAAAGTTGTAATAAGAATCCAGTGAACGAGAGCGAAAGCTCCGAAGTGAAGAAACTCATTCAGGATAAGCAGGAAACCGAGCCAGAGCCCCAAGCAGTTGAAAAAGAAAAGACCCCAAATGAATACTGCGCGGAGCAAGTCTACGATGCCGTCGCAAAGAAAACTAAGAAGGCATTATTTTCCGAGACCACTCCGTTTGAAATAAAGCCTACTGAGAATACACCTCCAGAGTGCAAAGTTGAGCCAAAGCCAACTGAAACTGAAATGGTAGTTGAAAGCGTATCGAGCAGCGAGTCGAAAGTCCAAATCCCAGTTAAAGAAACCATCGAGCCTCAAAAAGAGTCCAGCATAGTGACTCCTGTGGAAATGGAAATTGAAGAAAAAGTTCCCACTAATTCCACGGCTGCTCCTGAAAACGCTAAAGTTACACCAGTAGTAGAGTGTACTGAAACAGCTCCTATTGTGAATGAAGAAAAGTTGGAAAAATTAGAAAAGTTGGAGCCAATCAATGATCCAATACTTAAGAGCTCAGATGAAAAACCCATAAAACCTGATGAGGCACCTATTCCCACAGAGAAGGTGGCTGTAGCAGCGCCCACTCCAGTAGCCGCTCCAGTCTCTACTATCCCAAAGCCCGTGGAAGCAGTGGCCACAAAAAACTCGGATACTAAAGAGACTAAAGTGGAGAGTAAGCCCTGCGTTATGCCTGAGCAAGTGGAAACGAAGATTCCTGAAGCTCCTCCTATTGCTGTTAAATGCACTCGGCAATTGAATACTGAAGCTGACAAGGTAAATACCGCAAACGAAAAGCTAATGCCATTGAAGACAGAGGTGCCGCTTGTGCCAGAGGTTGATACAAAGCAGAAAATAAATAATAAAAAGGCGGCCTTGGAAACATCAGTACCGAGGACCGACAATAGCAATAACCATGCGTTATGTAAGAAACCAGATGCTCCAAATACGGGTAAAATGAATGTTCCAGATAAGGACGCAAATAAACCGACCCAATTGCTGCAAGTGAAAGAAGAGGAAAAGCCCAATGTGCGCGTCCCGTCGTCCTCGCTGCCAATACGGGACAAACATCAGCTGAAAAACAACGAACATCCCCAGCTGCAAAACTCTTTGACCTCTCAGTTCCCTATCAATCAAATGCCCAACTACCATCACACTTCGCAGTATTGGCAATGGGACTATTACAGCTACAATCTGTGTAATCCCGCCACCCCGAAGGGTCAGAAACAATTCCACAAGGACCTGGCAACAACAATGGCCTACACACACAACTTCACACAGAACTTGTACCAGTCGGCGAACCTGGCAATGCAAGCCCATCACCAGATGCACCACCCCAAGGACAAGCAGAAGGTTGATCGAAAGATAAGCGGCAAAAAGGAGGAGTTGGCGAAAGCAGCAACAGCAGCCAACATTAGCGCTGGCAACACGGCAAGGGACGACGGCCATGCACTCAACTGTAACGAATACAATGTCAACCAGGCCAACCTTTATGACCAGAAGTGCTCCAACCAGCAAAAACAATTCAAGGCAACGGATCATGGCCAGCAAATCAAGGCCTTAGACAATGCTCAAAACCCAGCTATAGCCAGACACGCGAATGCAAACCAAGGGGAATCGGGAATTCTGCTATCAAGTTCTTTGAGCCGCGAGCCGTCTGCCGCGCCCACAAAGCAGAAATCGGAGCACAGTGGCAACATAGCTCTAGGCGCCACACGAGACGATAAGATTAAAGTAACTCAGCCGATTCTGCAGTCGGTCAATAACCATTCAAATTTGCAAGTCAGCGGCCAATCTGATGTTAATACCAATATGCCGTACAACTCAGAGTCGGCCTCGAACAATGCGCCCATACAGCAGCACTATGACTGTGGGATTAATGTGCAAATCAATATGGACTCGCCAGCAAGCATTGGCAGTGCCGTCAATCATGGATCGGAAAACAGCAATGGACTCATGCACAGACAGTTCTCCGATTGCTCCATGCAAAATCAGTCGGCCACGACGCCCATGCATATGTCCATCCAGAACTCACATATCCAGCAGCAGAGCAACATCAATATGAATTTAACACCAGAAGGCTCGCCCAATTTAAACATCATCGGCAATGCCCAGCACCAGCACCA